GTCGCTAAACAGGACTCGAACCGAACGTGTGACCCCACCAATGGAGTCCTCGTTCGGAGAGCAATCCATTGGTGGGGTCACACGTTCGGTTCGAGTCCCATTTAGCGACTCTGGAGCTCAAAACGCGTCTTGAGTTTTGTCCGCCTCGACCGGTCTTCTGGCCCACTGTGCCCAGCCCGGCCGACCGGCCCCACGAGTGCGACAGAGACGGAGCAGTGCCCGGGGCCCTCATTACCGCCACACACGAGGCTAACGGGTCGGAGAGGTAGTGGCGGGACACGCAGCCACGCACTGCTGCCTGTCTCTCTCGCACCCGCGCGGGGCGCTCCGTGAGTGCGAGAGAGACCGCTGCCCGCACTACCACGCGCGGACGGGGCCGGGACGGCCGGGACACTGCAGCACAGCCCAATCTCTCTATTACTCCGCCGTCGAATTACCCGCTTACCCCCACCCCCTTCTTTTCCCAGTGTCCGGCCGGCTGCCAAGTCTCGGCGGCAAAATTGAATCCGCTCGAAGCGACTCTGGCAGTACGCTGTAATCGCCAAGGCGCTGACGGGCCGCGCGACGACGACGTCTCGCGACGCCACACAAACACACGGGCAGCGCCGCGTCGAAACTGGGCGAGGAAGCCACACAAAACGAGCGCCGTTTTCGGACTCCGGGAACAAAATGACTGGGTCAGGGTTCGTTGTTTTGGTCTGGTCCCAACTCGTCCTGGACTTCGTAGGAGGCATGAATCATGCTCTAACCACTAAATGGGCTTCACCGCCGCCCAGCCCGCGGCGGCACTGCCGGACAGACAGACAGGCAGACAGACAGACAGACAGACAGACCGCCTACAGGAACAAGGAAAGTCGGGTGGACGAGCTTGCAGTGTGTGCGACAAGGACGGAAAGCAAACAGGCCGATGTCGCGAATAGCGGGTTGCGATAATGGGCACTAGTGCGGTAGACTCATCCCGAGAGTCGTTCTCGTCGCTCTGTCCCTCTCGCACCAGTATGGGACGCCCCATGAGTGCGAGAGAGACTGAGCGACGAAAACGGCAGCAGGATGACGAGGTGCTGCAGACGAACGCATACGGCGCTTCGCTGCGCTTAGCCGGCCGCCCATCGGATCGGACTCGGCCGGGGGGCGGGCCAGCCGGGCCAGCCGTGCGTCCGTATCAAATCGGGCCAGGAGGATCAGAGGCTTCGGAGGCCGGCCGCCGGGGTGCCTCGCCCCGCCTCGCCCTGCCATACATCATGGCCTCAAGCAGGCCGAGCAGGCCCGGGCTAACAAGGCACCAAGGCGCACAGTGGGCCAGAAGACCGGTGGAGGCGGCCAAAACTCTAGACGCGTTTTGAGCTCCAGAGTCGCTGAACGGGACTCGAACCGAACGTGTGACCCCACCGCAATGGATTCCTCGCTCGAAGAGCAATCCATTGGTGGGGTCACACGTTCGGTTCGAACCCCATTTAGCGACTCTGGAGCTCAAAACGCGTCCGGGGTTTTGGCCGCCTCCGCCGGTCTTCTGGCCCACTGTGCGCCGACGTCCACGACGACGACGTGCCGCCGATGCCCTGTCGTCCGTCTCGCTCGCACCTGCACCGGGCGCCGCTTGAGTGCGACAGAGACAGAGCGACGAAGGCGACTCTCGGAATGACTGCTGGCGGGCTGGCGGGCGGGCAAGGGCTTCCGAAGGGCTGCCCATGGGCGCGTGGGCGCCGAGGCAGTGCGCCCAAGGGCCCAAGGGGCGAAGGGCCGATACGAAAACGATGACGAGCTTAATGCAATGTTAATCACGGTCCTGCAGCGTATTCCCCCCCCCCCCTTTTCCACGGCCCGCCGCCAGCACCGCCAGCCTTTGTAGGCAAGCGCTTGGTAATTATATGATTCAAGGGCCGCGCCGCCGCGACGGGGAAGGGGGAGGGGGAGGGCCCAACACGAAAGTCATCAAGCCCCGACGTCCTGACGGCCTCCTCGCCGTTTGCCTCGCGGGGACACTTCCCACACACCGCCATGCCGGCCTCCCCGAGAAGGAGGAGAAGAGTCGCGAGATGAAGACGGAACCCGCCTGTCTCTGTCCCTCTCGCACTCACGGGGCGTCCCGCATAGGTGCGAGAGAGACAGAGCGACGACTCTCGGTCTGCAGCGCCGCCTGAGGACTCACTCCCCCGATGGCGATGACGGCGTCCTTCAGGGCGTCCGGCACACCGATAAATCTCTGCAGGGTCGCGGGGGACACCAACACGCCGCGCATCCAGGCCCCTCCTCCCGGCAGTCGCTTCGTCGCTCTGTCTCTCTCGCACCCTCACGAGGCGCCCCGTGGGTGGGACAGAGACAGAGCGATGCTTCGGAAGCAGGCGGTTCTGGCGGTAGGCGCACTGCGTCTCGACGCGCGCACAACAGAGCACTCACGCTGCGGGAGAGAGACAGGGCACTACAGCCGCGGGCCAGCTCTCGGGCCGAACCCACTGGCCCGCCTCGCGCAGGTTTACCCACCGCAGCGCTGCTGGCTTGGGGAGGCTGGGGAGGTTTGCCCCGGCCCGACTTACCGAATCAAGGAAAAGTACCCACAACCAGAGAGCAAGGGACGCCGAAAAAAAGGAAAAAACGCAATCGGCGGCGCCGGGATTCGAATCCGGGGCTGTCGGTCTGCGGTTTGGGCGTGGGTGGCGCCGGGACGGCGACGCGGCGCCGGGCGTGATAGGCGCGGCGGGGCGGTGACGTCAGGCCGACGTCAGGGACCTGCAGATAGTGGCGACGCAGCCTCCGCCGTGGACCAGCAGTCATTCAGTCAGACAGACAGACAGACAGACAGACGGACGGACAGACAGACATGCAGACAATGGGTGGTGACGCCGCGCCACGCCACGCCCCGAAACTAGGCCAAACGCCTTGGACATGGCATGGACAGCGGACGGCAGCACCGCGAGCAGAGCGGAGCAGAGCGGAGCAGAGCGGTTGACCTGCCCTGCCGCCCTGCCCGTCATCAGGGCCTAGAGGGCCTAGACTGACACACCGTTTCGGCGAGGTTCGAACGCGGGCGAACACCGCGAAAAAGACTCAAGACTCCGCCCCACACAGACACATGCACAGAGGTGGAGCGAGAGAGAGAGAGAGAGAGAGAGAGAGAGAGAGAGAGAGAGAGAGAGAGAGAGAGAGAGAGAGAAGAGAGAGGGGTGCTTGCGACACGCCCGCCTTATCCAATATTCCATCTTGGGCGGATGCCGGCGGATGCACCGGCAGCAACAAAAACAAACAAAAACAAGAAAACAAAAAAAACGAGAGCTGAACAGCTAAACGGGTCACAGTCACAGTGGCGCATAACGCAGTCCGTTCGCGTTGGGTGGTCCGCCGGGCCACCGCGCTACCGCGCCACGCCGGGCCCGTCTGGGGTGTCCCCCGTGGCACGGCCAGCACGGCCAGCACGCCGTGCAAATGTGGGACACACACACACACACACACACACACACACAAAATGGAGAATAACAGAGGTGAGCGACTTACAGGATGCCAGTGCAGCATTTTGCCTACCTCGTAAGGCGGCGACAGGCACCCCTTGCCCCCACTCCTCAGCTTTTCCTCGCCGTTTCCGTGGCCAAGGTGCCTTTCGCTTTTTCCTCCACGCCAGCAGACTGATTCCCAGAGTAGTCGTTCTGTCTCTCTCGCACTCACGGGGCGGCCCGTACAGGTGCGAGAGAGACAGAGCGACGAGGCGGCCGTGCTCGCATCGCATCCTCGCTCGGCACGGCTCGGCCCCATCCCTTCTATCCTTGGACACTCCACCCCAAGGCCGACCCGACTGGCCAGACATGGGCTGAGCGCTCGCCGCGCGGGAACACCGCGCAAAGGAAGCGGCAAACTGGCCGATAAAAAAAATAAAAATAACTCTGAAATAGCGAAGGCGGGCTGGTCGAGGTGCGTTAGGCAACCCGCGCATGCACGGCCAATTTGCAGTGGGCGTAATAGTGGCTCGCCCCTGGCTGCGGACGAGGCTGTCTCTCTCGCACCCGAGGGGGCGTTCCGTACAGGTGCGAGAGAGACAGAGCGACGACAGGCGGTCTGGCGGTCGGCTCTGCACGCAGTGCAAGCAGTGCAGGCACGCACAGTCGTGCCACCTCCCTCGGTGAATGCAAAGTGAGCGCGGAGACAGTGTGGCCAACGCCGCGGCCGCAACACAGTGGGCCAGAAGACCGGTGGAGGCGGACAAAGCTCCAGACGCGTTTACAGCTCCAGAGTCGCTGAACAGGACTCGAACCGAGAGTGTGACCCCACCGATGGATTCCTCGTTCGGAGAGCAATCCATTGGTGGGGTCACAGTTCGATTCGATGCTTGTTAAGCGACTCTGGAGCTCAAAACGCGTCTGGAGCTTTGTCCGCCTCCACCGGTCTTCTAGCCCACTGTGCAGTGCCGCCAGCCACGTGCTTGCCTCAGCCTCTTCCAGCTGCGCGTCGTTCTCAGACGCAGAGTGTTGGAGCGAGAGAGACAGACAGACTGCACGCCTCGCCCAGCGCCCAGGGTCACGGGTCCTCGAGCGGAGTGGCCGGAGGGCCGGAGAGTGGGAAACACACTCAGGCTGATGCACTTGTCGGGTATAAATATCAGCCGTGTGACCTCCGCGTCGCCACGTCGAGCTTATCGCAATCCCACAATAATTATCCGATGACACACGACACGCTTTACCGCCCGTTGGGCCCGCTGTGAGTCAAGGGGAGTTTGGCGGCGGCGCGTTGCCAACGCCTTGTCTTATCTATCTGTTTGTCTGTCGCGGCCGTCGCGGCTTCCAAATCCCCCTCCCCCTCCCCCCGCCAGACTGGGCAGGCGCATCCTGAGCCCCGCTGCCCCGCTGCAACGCCACTAGAAATACATAATTAATTCCCGAGGCCCGTTACCCTCCAGCCGGTTCTGATCCAGTCCGCGCTGGAAAAACGAGTCGCACATTTCCCGCCGTTTTCAGCCGTTTTGCAGTGGAGTGCATGTCCGACATGACCTGCCCGGGCGTCGCTGCGGCGCTCACCTCGAGAGTAATGACGAGGACGGGTCCAAAGAGGAGCAGGTCTCTTCTGACGGCAGCGACGACGCGGCAGCGGCGTGGCTCACTGAATCTCAAGAGTCTCTGAAATCTCGGCGCACGGCGGAGACGACAGGGTCCCTGGCAGTCTCCCGCGAAAATGCAGAAGCAGGCGACTGGCACACTTCACTGAGGCACTTGTCTCACTGGTGGTGGCGATTCGCACATCGCCGATCGCACTGCGAGAGCGAGAGAGAGGGCGGCCGAATGCACGGAACTTTGCGCTACAGGTTCCCGCGGAAGACTGGCGCGCGGCGTGGCGGCAAGTTCGAGTTGCGGGTCGAGTTGTTCACGCCGCTGCCGCTCGCACGCGGCTCGGCTCGGCGCCGACCCCCCACCACTGGCTCGGCTGCGCTCGGCGGCCGGCCGCTCCGCTCGGCATGCGTTCGGCTGCGGCCCGAAGTGGCCCGAGCGCCGCGCCGCCGGGCCGAGCGTTCTGGACAGACGGGACACCTCCAAGAAGGACAACCCCCTTCCCTTCCTCCCCCCGCCCCGGCGCTTCTAGCCAACCTGTCTGTTTTGTGAGTGTCCCGTTCCAGCACCTGTTCTGTTGCCGAGTCCGATTCGATACTTGTTTGTGCAGCATGGAGTGCGTTGTCCTGCTGGAGGGGGAACGGACATTCGCTTTTACCTTGCAGTTGTATTTCAGATGCAAAGAACAAAGTGAACTCGTGTATATCGTATACCTTACGAAGTAATTTTCTTTGTCAGCTTGTAATACTTTGTTATGACAGGCTAATTTTCTTTGGAAGTCCCAAAAATAGTCTGGAAGGTATATTGCGAGAGCGGAACTTTCCCAAAAAGTATCACGGGTGGTCATTTGAACCGGAATCTTTTATCTACAGTTGGGGCACGATAAAGATCGACCCGCGGGACGAAATTCGTTCTTATTTCTGTTGCTGGACGCTCCGTATCGACGTGTGGGGCACTGCATATTAAGTAATGCTGCCAGACGCTCCTCACGATAGGCACGATCCGCCTGGGGGCATTTTACCTCGAGTAAGTTTCACACACGGAGACAGACAGCGAGGAGAAAGGGAAGATGGGGAGATTAGAGGGACACAGGTTAGCCGCTTTAGCACCAACGGTGGTCCTGCTGCTTCACTACAGCTGCTGAGTTTGCATCGGTGGTTCAGCACCAACTGTTTCGGCAAAAACGCAAAGGTAAAACTCCATGGCGAATGCCGCGGCAAGGAAACATTGAAATGCGCTGAACAAACGGTGAGAAGCGAGGACTTAAATGGCCTTTGTTGACACATGGTATCAGATCCCCTTCTCCTTGAGGGATACACGTCGATATATCGAAGTGCCAGCCGTATCGAGTGGTCCGCGAGCTCTCGCTTGTACGAGCTGCTTTGCCTTGCTCATCAAGGACGTCTACTTTTCCCGCACAAGCCGAGCCACGAGTACGCTCTATCCACCACCAAGCTGACGATCAAGTCGCGGCGGCGGCGTCGCCCGCCACGCGGTCTGGGACGAACAGCGAAATTCCGAGTGGCGGGATTTCTCAACTTGTCTGCGCCTCTCACTGACGGTGTTGGGCGGTGTCTTCGGCTTGCCGTAGAAAAGGACGAATTTCACTCCGATAGGGAGCGCTCTAAAAATGGAGAAAACCTTCAAGTGGCGGCGGCGGCTGTCGTTTTCGTCGCTCTGTCTCTCTCGCACTCATGGGGTGGCCCGTGTAGGTGCGAGAGAGACAGAGCGACGGCAAACTCAGTCTGCAGGGAAGGGCTTCGGCCCTTGGGTGTCGTTCACACGCGTCTCGCTGGCCTTTGCTGCCCTTGGTGATGCTGCAGCATCCAGGGCTGCAGGACTGCTTGCAGTGCGGTTGCTGAATGGCCCGACACTCGATACCCGGAAGTGGCGGCGGGGCGGCCCTACGGCGAGGGGCAGAGGCACTGGCCGAGGCAGAGGCACTGGCCGGCGGCCGCAAACTCGTCGCCTTGCCTCGCCTTGCCTCCGTTCGGTCCCCTCAAGGCAACCGGCTCCCGCCCGCGGGGCTGCCAAGCCGCCAAGCCGCCTGGCCAGGCTCGCCAACAGCACGCATGCAGACTGAGAGTCTCGCTCTGTCTCTCTCGCACCCATGAGCAACGCCCCAGCTGACCGTGCGCACTCCGGGGCCGCAGTGCAGTGCTGCCAATCGCAGATCGACATTTCGCAATTTCGCTTTTGACACCCCTCACGTCCGATCCGCGTTCGCTATTCACACCCAGACAAAAGTTTCATTCATTCAAAGCAGATTTTCTATCAATTAGTTCACTGAAAAACCAAACGTGGTCTAGACCGCACCAACTGGATTGGGTACGTAAATGGGTGCCATTTGGACCGCATCAGTCGGTGTAGTCTAGACCACGTTTGGTTTTTCAGTGTCACCAATAAATATCTTGGAGGAAGAACTTGTCAGGTTTACGTAAAGAAATCATCATCAGCTCTGTTAGGCCTCAGCAGGCCTTTAGCGTTCGAGTAGCTATACACATTCAAAGAAACAATTCGTCACTGGTATAGAAAACAAGTACGGAGGTTCCGTTGTTGGCAAGTACGGACACGGACGGTCCATGGTTCCTCTGGCAATCTGTTGATGGACCAGCTACACAAGATGGGCTACGTACCAGTAAGGATCCTAGAGTTTACAATTGAATGAATATGTTTTTCTGGGTGTGGATGTGGACCCTGCCTGGCGGCGAGGGCATCCATTGAGCGACAATCAACCTGAGGCGTCTAGGCAAGTGGCACAAAGACGAAGGCTAGTTGAAAAACGTTCAAAATGCAGAGAGGTTCGAAAGCTGGTCGGGGAATAATGGTGACTTGCTGGGGACATGTCTACGCATGCATGAGCGGCCGCGACACTGCTCGTGAGTGTTTGTCCGACACTTTGGAAACTAACTGGCTGACTCGCCAGTCTAAAACTTGAGCTGAGGAGACCGGGTTATTTTTGCCCCGCGTATGCTGAGCATTCTCTAGTTTCCGTCGTAGTTAGCGCGCTCCTTTGTTATTCCTCGAAAAACAGGTGGAGGAAAACATCTCCGGTTCCAGGGAGGCGCTGCTCACCTTACCTGCACTTGGGGGGGACCGTCCTGTCTTGGGTTAAATAAAGTAAAGTCACATGACCACCGAAAAAGGGAGCCGTCTTTTTATGTCCCCTGGCCAGTTGTGTGGCGGCCCGTAGCGGGCCACTCATGGGAGGGGGGGGGGGCATTTATAATTCGTGACGGGCCGACGGAGCGCAAGGCGCAAGGCGCACCAGGCAGGGTGTGAACTAGCCAAGTTACGACTGCACGTATGTTGTACGCGTCGGACTGCGCCGTACGGCGCCGTACCGTGTGTCCGTGTGCACAGTCAACAATTTGGCCGGGGCCCGGGCACACTGCAAGAACGTGACTCACCATTTCGTTTCAAATTCCGTTACCATCCCTGTCGCTAAACAAGACTCGAATCGGACGTGTGACCCCACCAATGGATTGCTCTCCGAAAGAGGAATCCATTGGTGGGGTCACACGTCCGGTTCGAGTCCCATTTAGCGACTCTGGAGCTCGAAACGCGTCTAGAGTTTTGGCCGCCTGCACTGGCCCTCTGCCTCTGTGCGACCAACCCTTCTTCTTGCGTGGCAGTGTGGTACCCCCAGTCGGCGTGTGCAAACATCCGCGGCCGTGATAAGCTTCGTGTCTGTTTGGTCTGCTCCACTGTCGGCCCAGCCCAGCGTGGACTGATTCAGAGAGTCTATCTCTCTCGCACCTACACGGCACGCCCCATGAGTGCAAGAGAGACAGACTCTCTGAATCACTCTGCCGGCCGGCCGGAGCGTCGCTATTTTGAATGCATACCGAACGGCGAGCCGCGGCATGCATGCGCGTCCGAGCGGCGCGGCACGGCGCGGCACGGCGCGGCGTGTGCGAATGTTGGTCAGTGGTGCCAGCCTGCCGGCCTGCCAGCGCCGCCAACACCGCGCTCTGTGCGCGTATCCGCGTGCATCGAGCAAGGCCGGCCTTACCGCCGAGTCGCTCTGTCTCTCTCGCACCCCTGCGGCACGCGGCGGCACGCCCTGGCGGCCCTGCGAGTGCGACAAAGACGGCGACGCTGCTAGGTGCGGTCCTGGCGGTCCTGGCGGTCCTGACGGTGGCGGTCCTGGCCACGTGTTGCGTCACGCGGAGGAGGCGGAGAGGCGAGGCCCGACCCGATTGGCCGATCCCAGTTCCCGCGCCGTTTTTGAGTGGAACCGCCTTAAAAGGAGGCGGACTTCCGAAACGACTCGCGGGGAGTAGCCTCGACTTTGGGGAAGATTCTTGTCTGACTTGTGTCGGGCGTTTTCGGCACGTCTCTGGCTGGCTGGAGGTGCACGGAGGTGTGGATGATGGCCAGTTCGGACGGCTGAGCGGCATTGACTCGCTAGTTTTGAAAACACGCTCACGCACAGGCGGCAGTGGGGCCGGCCGGCCGGCCACACGCACGCACCTCGACGCACTCACACAGACACACACGCACGTGGGGTGAATGGGCGCGAGGCAGAGCAGTGCCATGGCAGTGCCTCGCGTTGCTGGCCGTGCATGAATGGACGTTTGGCCTAAGTGCAGGCCGCACCCGAAGGCACCCGAAGGCACCCGAAGGCACCCGAAGGCACCCGAAGGCACACCCGAAGGCACACCCGAAGGCACACCCGAAGGCACCCCCGAAGGCACCCGAAGGCACACCCGAAGGCACCCGAAGGCACACCCGAAGGTACACCCGAAGGCATCCGAAGGCACACCCGAAGGCACCCGAAGGCACCCGAAGGCACACCCGAAGGCACACCCGAAGGCACACCCGAAGGCACACCCGAAGGCACCCGAAGGCACCCGAAGGCACACCCGAAGGCACCCGAAGGCACAGCCGAAGGCACCCGAAGGCACCCGAAGGCACCCGGGGGAAGGCTTTAGCCTTGATGAATCTGATTTACAGCGCATTAGCGCAGGCCAATGAGTATCGTGTGTTTTGATCGGACAGCAGGGCCGCGGCGCCGCGGCGGGACGGAGCAGGTTTCATACGCAATCGCTACTGCATTCACCTACCCTGCCAAACGAAGCGACGTCAAGCATCATAGAAGGAGAAGGATTTCCCGGTCTACGTAGGGTGCAATGATGCCCAAAGTCTGCCCAAATCACGATTAGGTAGTACACATTGTCTGCTTTGAACTGGCATGGAAGATTTCCCCTACCGATATTTGCCAATGACGCACCAAAGTTCACCAAATCACTGTGATTTTACTAATAGTTTAGAAAATCGAGTTTTCT